TCTCTCTCCCGCTACTCTCTCCTCTTCCATCCTATCATCTCTTCCCTCTGATCAATCATTCTCCCTCCAATCTCCTGATTCTGCCTCCTCAACCCTCCTCTCCTCCCTTTCTGCATCCTTTGACGCTCTATGTCCCCTATCCTCCCGGCCGGCTCGGTCCTCCCCTCCTGCTCCGTGGCTTGATGACTCATTGCGAGCTCACAGAACAGGGCTCCAGGCATCCGAGCGGAAATGGAGGAAAACTAGACTCTCTGCGGACCTGGCATCTTTTCACTCCCTCCTCTCTATATTTTCTTCATCTGTTTCTGCTGCTAAAGCCACTTTCTACCACTCTAAATTCCAAGCATCTGCCTCTAACCCTAGGAAGCTCTTTGCTACCTTCTCCTCCCTGCTGAATCCTCCGCCCCCCCCCCTCTCTGTGGATGACTTCGTCAACCATTTTGAAAAGAAGGTTGACGACATCCGATCCTCGTTTGTTAAGTCAAATGACACTGCTGGTCCTGCTCACACTGCCCTACCCTATGCTTTGACTTCTTTCTCCCCTCTCTCTCCAGATAAAATCTTGCGAATTGTGACGGCTGGCCGCCCAACAACCTGCCTGCTTGACCCTATCCCCTCCTCTCTTCTCCAGACCATCTCCGGTGACCTTCTCCCTTACCTCACCTCGCTCATCAACTCATCCTTGACCGCTGGCTATGTCCCTTCCGTCTTCAAGAGAGCGAGAGTTGCACCCCTTCTCAAAAAACCAACACTCGATCCCTCTGATGTCAACAACTACAGACCAGTATCCCTTCTTTCTTTTCTCTCCAAAACTCTTGAGCGTGCCGTCTTTAGCCAACTCTCTTGCTATCTCTCTCAGAATGACCTTCTTGATCCAAACCAGTCAGGTTTCAAGACTGGTCATTCAACTGAGACTGCTCTTCTCTGTGTCACGGAGGCTCTCCGCACTGCTAAAGCTAACTCTCTCTCCTCTGCTCTTGTCCTTCTAGACCTGTCTGCTGCCTTTGATACTGTGAACCATCAGATCCTCCTCTCCACCCTCTCCGAGTTGGGCATCTCCGGCGCGGCTCACTCGTGGATTGCATCCTACCTGACCGGTTGCTCCTACCAAGTGGCGTGGCGAGAATCTGTCTAAGCACCACGTGCTCTCACCACTGGTGTCCCCCAGGGCTCAGTTCTAGGCCCTCTCCTATTCTCGCTATACACCAAATCACTTGGCTCTGTCATATCCTCACATGGCCTCTCCTATCATTGCTACGCAGACGACACACAACTAATCTTCTCCTTTCCCCATTCTGATAACCAGGTGGCGAATCGCATCTCTGCATGTCTGGCAGACATATCAGTGTGGATGACGGATCACCACCTCAAGCTGAACCTCGGCAAGACGGAGCTGCTCTTCCTCCCCAGGAAGGACTGCCCGTTCCATGACCTCGCCATCACGGTTGACAACTCTGTTGTGTCGTCCTCCCAGAGTGCGAAGAGCATTGGCGTGACCCTGGACAACACCCTGTCGTTATCCGCTAACATCAAGGCGGTGACCCGATCCTGTAGGTTCATACTCTACAACATTCGCAGAGTACGACCCTACCTTGCACAGGTCCTAATCCAGGCACTTGTCATCTCCCGTCTGGATTACTGCAACTCGCTGTTGGCTGGGCTCCCTGCCTGTGCCATTAAACCCCTACAACTCATCCAGAATGCCGCAGCCCGTCTGGTGTTCAACCTTCCCAAGTTCTCTCACGTCACCCCGCTCCGCCGCACACTCCACTGGCTTCCAGTTGAAGCTCGCATCTGCTACAAGATGATGGTGTTTGCCTACGGAGCTGTGAGGGGAACGGCACCTCCGTACCTTCAGGCTCTGGTCAGTCCCTACACCCAAACGAGGGCATTGCGTTCATCCACCTCTGGCCTGCTGGCCCCCCTACCTCTGCGGAAGCACTGTTCCCGCTCAGCCCAGTCAAAACTGTTCGCTGCTTTGGCACCCCAATGGTGGAACAAGCTCCCTCACGACGCCAGGACAGCGGAGTCACTCACCACCTTCCGGAGACACTTGAAACCCACCTCTTTAAGGAATACCTGGGATAGGATAAAGTAATCCTTCTACCCCCCCTTACCCCACCCCACCCCCAAAAATAAATAAATAAATAAATACATTTGTAAAGTGGTTATCCCACTGGCTATAAGGTGAATGCACCAATTTGTAAGTCGCTCTGGATAAGAGCGTCTGCTAAATGACGTAAATGTAAATGTAAATGTAGTCCTCCAGTCAGTCAGGTTGTAACTAACTGAAAAAGGCTGTGGTCATGTCTAGTTTCCAGTTAGTCAGGTTGTAACTGTAAAGGGATGTGGTCATGTCTAGTCTCCAGTCAGTCAGGTTGTAACTAACTGTAAAAGGCTGTGGTCATGTCTAGTCCTCCAGTCAGTCAGGTTGTAACTGTAAAGGGCTGTGGTCATGTCTAGTCCTCCAGTCAGTCAGGTTGTAACTGTAAAGGGCTGTGGTCATGTCTAGTCTCCAGTCAGTCAGGTTGTAACTAACTGTAAAAGGCTGTGGTCATGTCTAGTCCTCCAGTCAGTCAGGTTGTAACTGTAAAGGGCTGTGGTCATGTCTAGTCTCCAGTCAGTCTGGTTGTAACTGTAAAAGGATGTGGTCATGTCTAGTCCTCCAGTCAGTCAGGTTGTAACTGTAAAGGGCTGTGGTCATGTCTAGTCTCCAGTCAGTCAGGTTGTAACTAACTGTAAAAGGCTGTGGTCATGTCTAGTCTCCAGTCAGTCAGGTTGCAACTAATTGTAAAGGGCTGTGGTAATGTCTAGTCTCCAGTAAGTCAGGTTGTAACTGTAAAGGTCTGTGGTCATGTCTAGTCTTCCAGTCAGTCAGGTTGTAACTGTAAAGGGCTGTGGTCATGTCTAGTCTCCAGTCAGTCAGGTTGTAACTGTAAAGGGCTGTGGTCATGTCTAGTCTCCAGTCAGTCAGGTTGTAACTAACCGTAAAAGGATGTGGTCATGTCTAGTCTCCAGTAAGTCAGATTGTAACTAACTGTAAAGGGCTGTGGTCATGTCTAGTCCTCCAGTCAGTCAGGTTGTAACTGTAAAGGGCTGTGGTCATGTCTAGTCTCCAGTCAGTCAGGTTGTAACTGTAAAGGGCTGTGGTCATGTCTAGTCTCCAGTCAGACAGGTTGTAACTGTAAAGGGCTGTGGTCATGTCTAGTCTCCTCCAGTCAGTCAGGTTGTAACTGTAAAGGGCTGTGGTCATGTCTAGTCTCCTCCAGTCAGTCAGGTTGTAACTGTAAAGGGCTGTGGTCATGTCTAGTCTCCAGTCAGACAGGTTGTAACTGTAAAGGGCAGTGGTCATGTCTAGTCTCCTCCAGTCAGTCAGGTTGTAACTGTAAAGGGCTGTGGTCATGTCTAGTCTCCAGTCAGTCAGGTTGTAACTGTAAAAGGCTGTGGTCATGTCTAGTCTCCAGTCAGTCAGGTTGTAACTGTAAAGGGCTGTGGTCATGTCTAGTCTCCTCCAGTCAGTCAGTATGTAACTGTAAAGGGCTGTGGTCATGTCTAGTCTCCAGTCAGACAGGTTGTAGCTGTAAAGGGCAGTGGTCATGTCTAGTCTCCTCCAGTCAGTCAGGTTGTAACTGTAAAAGGCTGTGGTCATGTCTAGTCTCCAGTCAGTCAGGTTGTAACTAACTGTAAAAGGCTGTGGTCATGTCTAGTCTCCAGTCAGTCAGGTTGTAACTAACTGTAAAAGGCTGTGGTCATGTCTAGTCTCCAGTCAGTCAGGTTGTAACTGTAAAGGGCTGTGGTCATGTCTAGTCTCCAGTCAGTCAGGTTGTAACTGTAAAGGGCTGTGGTCATGTCTAGTCTCCTCCAGTCAGTCAGGTTGTAACTAACTGTAAAAGGCTGTGGTCATGTCTTGTCCTCCAGTCAGTCAGGTTGTAACTAACTGTAAAAGGCTGTGCTATGCGGCAGCAGCAAGCAGCAGAGAGCTGTGTCCCAAATGACACCCTATTCCCTATAAAGTGCACTGCTTTTTGTTGGGCTCTGGTAAAAAGTAGTGCACTATATAGGGAATAGGGTGCCATTTGTGACTGTGATTCATTTTACTCCCACCCAGCAGACACACAGCACCATGCCATATGTTATTACAGTATTACAAGTGTCAGGGCCACGATAAATCACAACAGTTACTGCCTACATTTAGAAAATTACCTACACGCTTCCATCTCTAACAGCCATAAAAACATGATCAGATTTCATGTTCTGACAGGATTTAAGCTAACCCTTCCAACCCTGGTCTGTTCCTGTTTCCTGTACAACAAATAATTTTTACTGCATTTACTCCATCTTAGGACCAGGTTTGTTATATTTCAAATGGCAGGATGGGCGGGGGGAAACTGGTGAGTAAGATTTCAAATGTATCCATTATAGCAGATACGATTGAGCTTAGTCTTGAAATTGAACTTAAACCTGAACCTGATCCTGATCCTGAACCTGAACTTGAGAATCAATAACTGTCAGTTGGACTTTTGGCATTGTTCTGTAACAGACAAATATAACTTTTCTTGGTGAAGGATGAGCAACTCCCCTGCTAATTATGGGAGAACCCCACAGCATTCTACCCAACCCTATTCTTGCAGCAAGGCTGCTTACAACTTGCAAAACACTAATTTTCTCAGATATTTCCAAACTTTTAACAAGGCAGGGAACACTACAAGTTACGCAGTCAAAAATAATTGCAGAAAAAGCATTTTCTTCTCCTCTGGAAGCCCCCCATGCTGCATGGATGAACATCATTATCAAGATAAATGAAATGTTAGGCTGCGTCCTGAAATGTCACCCGATTCCCTAAATAGTGCACTTTGTTTAACCAGAGCCTGCATAGCGCACCATATGAGGGATAGGGTGCCATGTCAGACTGAGTCCTACTCAGTGGCCTCATTTCTCAGTGAAATAAATCACTGTTTGAAGACGCAGTCAGATGAAGATGAAGGTGTGTGTTCCTCACTGGAGTAGCTGAGTCTGAAGCCCCCTGCTGTGTGCTCCTGGTCTGAGTAGAACTCCAGCCACAGATGATTGGAGGTGGAGGTAAGGACCAGGCCTAGCATGGTGGAGCCGGTGTAGGTACCCAGGACAGGGGCAGCACTGTCCCCTCCATCATAGACCTGCAGAGAGGAGACAGCAGGGGGTTAACATCAAATCCATCCATCCATTCATCCATCCACCAATCCATCCATCCATGAATCCATTCATCCATCCATCCATCCATCCATCCATCCATCCATTCATCCATCCATCCATCCATCCATCCATTCATCCATCCATCCATTCATCCACCCACCATCCATCCATCTACGTAAATATTCTGTAACCTATTATTATGGAGTGGTTGAATACCTAGAGAGGAAAGCAGCTGAAGTATGTACATGTAGATATGGTGTAATCTATTCATACAGAGTGGTTGAATACCTAGAGAGCTGAAGTATGTACACGTAGATATGGTGTAATCTATTCATACAGAGTGGTTGAATACCTAGAGAGGAAAGCAGCTGAAGTATGTACATGTAGATATGGTGTAATCTATTCATACAGAGTGGTTAAATACCTAGAGAGGAAAGCAGCTGAAGTATGCACATGTAGATATTGTGTAATCTATTCATACAGAAATAGAAGCATGGAAGTGTCATTATGTGATTTTGAAACAACACGTATCTTATTCCAAACTGATCTCAGTAACATCTCAGACTGTTTTTATCTCCTGTGACTGTATAGGCACACTCAGAATCTTACTATCATACATTGTCAATGAAAGAGGGAGAGGTAGAATATAAGAGGAGAAGGAAGGAGAGAGATTGGGGCGGCAGGTAGCTTAGTGGGTAAGAGCGTTGTGCCAGTAACCGAAAGGTCGCTGGTTCTAATCCCCGAGCCGACTAGGTGAAAAATCTGTCGATGTGCCCTTGAGCAAGGCACTTAACCCTAATTGCTTCTGTAAGTCGCTCTGGATAAGAGCGTCTGCTAAATGACTAAAATGTAAAATGTAAATTGAGAATGAAATAAAAGAATGAAAGGGGGTTTGTGTGGTGGTATTACCTTGAGAATGTCTCCTTGTGCCAGTTGGAAGGTGCTTGCTGAGACGTTGATGCCCTTTCCTGTCTCTACCTGAATGCTGTAGACACACTCGTGGCTGTTGTCATAGTTTAGTGGGTAGTTGGGCGACAACAGAACTCCTTCGCTGTTGGAAACGGTTGAGCCGCACTCCGCTACGGAACAAAGAGACAGCATAGAATAAGTGACCAAACGAGAGAATTCTCTTCAATGTCTGCAACGTTCCCTGTAATGGATATATTCAGTATATCATTACACTGTGCAAAAGTCTAGAGTTCAAAATGATTCCGAAATTCCCATTTCTAATCGCTATAGTTTTCAAGGTATGTTCCTTTTCATACTGTAATGTAGCATCACCATCAGTACTGTGGTCTGTCTCATTTCATCCTGTAATGTAGCATCATCATCAGTACTGTGAAAAAGTAGTCTAACATCACAAGTTGGAAAACAGATTGAATACACTTCTGTCCCAATATCTGTCCCAAGATTTTATTTATATTTTTAATATTTTTAATATTTTTAATTGTGTGCCTCCCCATGGGTCTCCCGGTCGCGGCCGGCTACGACAGAGCCTGGATCTCTAGTGGCACAGCTAGCACTGTGATGCAGTGCCTTAGACCACTGCACCACTCGAGAGGTTATATATTATTCTTACGTTAAAGTTTTCACCTGTAGAGACTAGGATTATAGATATAGAGAGATACAGACTAGAGAGATAGAGAGATAGATATACAGAGATACAGACTAGAGAGATACAGACTAGAGAGATACAGACTAGAGAGATACAGACTAGAGAGGTACAGACTAGAGCGATAAAGACTAGAGAGGTACAGACTAGAGAGGTACAGACTAGAGAGATGGAGACTAGAGAGATAGAGACTAGAGAGATACAGACTAGAAAGATACAGACTAGAGAGGTACAGACTAGAGAGATAGAGACTAGAGAGATGGAGACTAGAGAGATAGAGACTAGAGAGATACAGACTAGAGAGATACAGACTAGAGAGGTACAGACTAGAGAGATAGAGACTAGAGAGATAGAGACTAGAGAGATAGAGACTAGAGAGGTACAGACTAGAGAGGTACAGACTAGAGAGGTACAGACTAGAGAGATGGAGACTAGAGAGATAGAGACTAGAGAGATAGAGACTAGAGAGATACAGACTAGAGAGATAGAGAGATAGACTAGAGAGATACAGACTATAGAGATAGAGATAGAGAGATAAAGCCTAGAGAGATACAGACTAGAGAGATAGAGACTAGAGAGATACAGACTAGATAGATACAGACTAGAGAGATAGAGATAGAGAGATACAGACTAGAGAGATACAGACTATAGAGATAAAGATATAGAGATACAGATTGAAGCAAGAAAAATTATCGAGGACACTGTCTGAGACCATATTACCCAAAGCCATATACAGAATACAGTAGCTATCCATTTCCTCCTGTTGTCAACCTTCTCCTCTGCTATAAATATATACTTGTATATGCATTGCCCTATCCACAGTCCACACAGAAGCAATAAGCAAATGAAAGCAGCTGACCACGTACCCACACACCTTGGCAGAGGGGCACTCCACATGCGGCGACCACCTCCCAGGCACCAGATCTCCACCGCCCCCTGTAGGCGATAGCCCGTATTGCAGGAAAAAACCAGCGAGTCTCCGATGCCAAAGCTGATGCCTGTGTGCCAGCCAAACCTGGGGGTCCCGGGGTCCTCACACGGCTCCAGATTATACTCTAAGGAAACCAAACAACATAGGGTCTTTCCAAAGTCGTATTTCCTTGATTTCTCACGTCCTCTCTCCTTGCCGTCACTTCTCAAAACACATTGGAGAAGAAAGTCTGATGGGGAGGGACCTTGGATCTTCTCCTCCAGTGCAGTTTGGGAAGCCAAGGAGAGAGGAAGCGAGGAAAGATGAATTAAGAAAGGGGGAAGTCATTGGGGTACAACAGGGAACAACATTGTCATCCGAAGGGAAAGGAAGGGGGACCGTATTAGGACAGCACTCATTCAACCTTGCTGAACAAAGCTACATTACCAAACCAGTCAATCTTATCAAATGTTACAAAAGGTTGTGAGCAGAATTATAAACAGGACAATCTATAGATGATAATTACAGTATGTACACAGAACAGACTCTCGGGTAAGACCATGGATATTCATGAGTTGCTGCACCAAGATATGCTTCAGTTTGATGAGCAGGAGGCAAACATTTAGCCAGGCTGTTTCAATAGCAGAAGTTATTCCCATTAACTCTGATAGAGCAGAAGTTATTCATATTAACTCTGATAGAGCAGAAGTTAGTCCCATTAACTCTGATAGAGCAGAAGTTAGTCCCATTAACTCTGATAGAGCAGAAGTTAGTCCCATTAACTCTGATAGAGCAGAAGTTAGTCCCATTAACTCTGATAGAGCAGAAGTTAGTCCCATTAACTCTGACATAGCAGAAGTTAGTCCCATTAACTCTGACAGAGCAGAAGTTAGTCCCATTAACTCTGATAGATCAGAAGTTAGTCCCATTAACTCTGATAGAGCAGAAGTTAGTCCCATTAACTCTGATAGAGCAGCAGTTAGTACCATTAACTCTGATAGAGCAGAAGTTAGTCCCATTAACTCTGATAGAGCAGAAGTTAGTCCCATTACCTCTGACAGAGCAACAGACAGACTACAGTCCTCTCCTCAGGATATTCACCTGGACAGCCTGCTTGATTCAGCATTCAAAATGGCCCCCTACTCCCTACGTAGTGCACTACTTTGAGCAGAGCCCTGTGGGCCGTGAGGTAGTGCACTACATAATGAATAGGGTGCCATTTGGGTCGACTATAGTCCTCTCCTCTGGATATTCACCTGGACAGCCTTCATGATGGCTGCATCCCAAATTGCACCATATTCCCTACCCACTGGGCACAGACACCAATTCAACATATTTTCTACGATGGTTCAACTCAATTTCATTGAAATGATGTGCAAACAACGTTGATTCAACCAGAGTGTGCCCAGTGGATATGTAGTGCCCGACATCCCCTATGAGCCTTGGCCAAACGTAGTGTACCACATTCCCTATGAGCCCTGGTCAAAAGTAGTGTACCACATCCCCTATGAACCCTGGTCAAACGTAGTGTACCACATCCCCTATGAGCCCTGGTCAAAAGTAGTGCACCACACCCCCTATGAGCCCTGGTCAAAAGTAGTGTACCACATCCCCTATGAACCCTGGTCAAACGTAGTGCACCACATCCACTATGAGCCCTGGTCAAACGTAGTGTACCACATCCCCTATGAACCCTGGTCAAAAGTAGTGTACCACATATGTAAAAGGATGCCATTAGGGACGCACGCTCTCTGTGACAGGCTCCTTGTACTTGACATTGGTTTACAATAATGATCCATCCAGAATCATCAGTCTCAGAGCTTCAGTCCACCCTAAGCGTGCTCTAACCCTCACTGCTAAATCACTCTCCTTACATGTTACTCTATATGCTTTACCAAGAGCTTAACACTTCTGATCTCATCACTGAATGAATGTGGCAAATCTCTCTCTCTCTCTCTCTCTTTCTCTTTTCCCCCTCTCTCCTCTTTTTTCTCTTTTTTTTCTCTTCTTCTTTTCTCCTTCCCCTTTCCTCTTTTTTTCTCTCCCTTCTCTCTTCTCTCTCTCTTTCCCCCCTCTTCTCTCTTCTCTCTCTCTCTTTTCCAAAAGGGGGTTTCTTCTTAAAATGGAGGAAGGGGGTGGGTTGAATTCCCCCACCGAAAAAAGGGGGGGCCCGGAGATGAAAGCAAAAAGGGGCCGAAGTTTCCCCCAAAAAAAATTTCCTTTTCTCTTAAAAAAGGGTGGGGTTTCCCAAGGGCCCAAAATTTTTCCCCCCCCAAGTTTCCCGGCCCCAATTCCCGGGTTTTTCCCCCCCCTTTTCCCGGGTTCCCCCCCCCTTCCCTTCTTTAAAACCCCCCCCTTTGGCTATTTCCCCCCCTTTCCTTTACCCTACAAGTGAAAATTTCCCTCCCCCCCCCCCCCCCCCCCCCCCCCCCCCCCCCCCCCCCCCCCCCCCCCCCCCCCCCCCCCCCCCCCCCTTTTTTTTTTTTTTTTTTTTTCCTCCTTGTTCCCCTTCCTTCTTTCTTTCCCCCTCCCTTTCCTTCTCCCCCCTTCTCTTTCCCCTTTTCCCCCCTTGTCTTCCTTCCCCCCCCCCCCGCCCCTTCCCCCTTTCTCTTTCCTCTTCCTCCTTTCTTCTTCCCGCTTTTCTCTTTTTTTAAAACCAAATTTAAAATTTAAAGCTTAGAAAATTCAAGAGCAAAACTTTAATTTCCCATGGGTCATTGGGGGGGCGCTCACCAGGGGGCGATTTAAAGGTAGGGAAGTGCCTTCTCAGGGATCAGATTTTCAAGGGTGGTTTAAAAGGGGGAAGAAACTGAAACTGGACCCCTAACAAAGATACGGGGGGGAAAAAGAAGAAACCTTAATGATAAAGAAATTTAAAAAAGGGTCTTAATAAAAGAAGGGCTTTTAACTCTTTTTACCCCGGTAAAGCCCTTGAAAATTTCCCTTTTGAAAAAATCTTCAACATGCATTAGTTTTAAAAAGGAATCTACAAGCTGTAGGTCCCTTTTTAAAAAAGGGTTTTGGGTAAAGCCATTTTTCTTTACTTTTCCTCCCTTCCCCATGCCGACCTCCAGGTCCCAGTCTTTTAAAAGGAGTTATAGACAATCCCAGAGCCGGTAAAACCAAGCCCTCCCGCCCCAAACATTTTGGGAGAATGAAAAACAATTATCAAAAACATGAAATCAGCCTGATGCTAATAACGTGCAAAAGGTAATATAGCAACTTAATGAAACCCCCTCCTCACGTTCCACACTGCCCTCATCTATATATATTAAAAAACGGTGGTTCGAGCCCTAATGCTGATTGGCTAAAACCCCGGGTATTCAACCTTACCTGGTAGACAAAATTTATTTTTAACTGCTCTAATTATTTGGAAACCTTTTTAAAATAGAATAAGGGCCCTGGGGGGGGGTTTTTATGGCCAATATCCCACGGCTGGGGCTGTTCCGGGGCCACCCTAGCCTGTAATTGGCCATATACCACACCCCTCGGCCTTTTTGTTTAATTACCCAATTCGCGACGCTTTTATCCCAAAAAAATTGTATGGGGGGCCCCCACAGGAACAAACCCCCCCCTTTGGTGTTGCAGCACCATGTCACTGACTGGCTACCGTGCAGTTTCCTTTTGACATATCAAATATCAGGGAAAGTCTCCTTATTGACTAACAATATGTTTTTCATTTTTTTGCAAGCCTTTCCCTTTTTGGGACTAATAAAAATTTTACCCCATTCTTCCTTATTGCCAAAATATAGCATCAGGGCTTCCTTATTGACATAATCAAATGAATGGCATGTCCCTTATTGCAAAACAAATGATCATGTGCATGTTTCCTTATTGACAAATCAATAGATCCATGTCTTCCTTTTGACATATAAATATGATCATGTCATGTTTCCTATTGCATAATCAATAGACCCATGTTTCCTTATTGACATAATCATATGATCATGGCTGTTTTTCCTTATTAAATAATCTACACGATCTCTTTTCTTCCCACAGCAATTAAAGGGGAAAAAAGTCCCCTCTAAATGGGGGCTGGGCCAGGGTTTTAATGTCGAACCGTTAAAGGTTACCAGTTTAATTAGCCATTGTTCACCACCACCAGTTTTTCTACTGACTGTCTTGTTTGTTTCTTTAAAAAGGTCATAATTTTCATCTTTAAAAAACAAAGCTTTTCAAATACGACTTTAAAATATCCTTCTTCAGAGTTTTTTTTTTTTTTTTTTTTTAGCCTTTTAAAAATGTCGGCCTGGCTAAAAATAAATCAAAAATTGCTATGCAAATGCCCTCCAAAAAACACATCAAACGCAGGGAAATTTTAAGTTGAACTGGTGGTTGGAGTCATTTTTAAGTTGATCCAAAAATCCAGGTAGTGTTTTTGGAGTCACACCCTGGGCTGACATTAGTCCTAAAACCCTAATGGGCCCCCTGTAAAATCTGCACTACCTTGGGGCCCGGGAAAAATGTGCACTAAGAAGGAAAAGGGTCCATTTGGGACCCCCCACCCCTCCAGGGAAACCACATGCATCGCCCTACCACCCAAAAATTTTAAAAAAATGCTTAATTATGAGCCCCAAATTACATAAATCTTAAAAAACATACCTGTGTTACTTTTGCAACTTGTGGGCTTTTTGTCGACCCTGGCTCAGCATATATGCCTGTATGCTTGATTAAAGTTGTAGAGGGATCAAGAGACCAACATATACCAGTTAGCCAAATCTCCCCTTCCCCCTACTTCTCAGTGGTCCCCTCGTGCAAAATCTCCCCTTACCCCCTACGTCTCCATTTGGGCACCCCCAGTGCAACATCTCCCCTCCCCCCCACTGTCTCCATGTGGTCACCCTCAGTACAACATCTCCCTTACCCCCCCCCTGTCTCCATTTTCACCCTCATAGCCCCCTCCCCCCCCCCTACTGTCTCCATGTGGCACCCCAAGCCCATCCCCCCTTACCCCTACTGTCTCCATGTGGTCCCCCATAGCAACTCTCCCCCTTAACCCCCCCTGTCTCCCTGTGGTCACCCTCAGTCCAACATCTCCCCTTCCCCCTACTGTTCCATGTGGTCACCCTCGTAGCAAAAATCTCCCCCCACCCCCACGGGGCCCCATGTGGGCACCCTCAGTAGCCAATTCCCTTTTAAACCCCTACTGTCCCTGTGGTCCCCTCAACCCCCATCTCCCCTTACCCCCACGTCTCCTTGGTCACCCAGGGCAAACCCCCTTAATTTCTCCCTTTACCCTCATCAAATCTTTTTTTTTAAACCCCCGGGAAGGTGGGGTTAAGCTGTTATATCCTTTGAGTAAGTTTTGGGGTGGTTTAGAAGAACCGGGGGGACATTCCCCCTTTTCCCCCCAAAACCCCCCCTAACCTTCATTATTTTTCCCTAATTAATCTAATCCCCATAATCACACTACCTCTACCTACCCTCTCCCCTTTCCCCCCCCCCCCCCCTTATTAACCCCCTACTGTTATTTTATTTTACTGCTGCTCTTTAATTATCTGCTATGTTATATTTTTTACTTATCTATTTTTTACTTAACACTTTTTTAAAATATTTTTTTTTAAACTGCATTGTTGGTTAAGGGCTTGTAAGTATGCAGTGCTTGTTGTAGTGCTGAGTGGAAATAGGAAGAACACACATTTTATGGCTCATAAAAATGTTGAATACAAAGTGTTGACAGGGCTGAGTAAGAACTTAAACATGAACTCACTCATAAAAACAGCAGCTTTTTGCTGTATTCGTTGACAGTCTCTCTCTAGTCATGGTTTTAAACGTTTTGAAATCTCACAGTATCAACTTTGCTGTAGGTTTCTTTTATGCCTGCTACGTTACTGCAGACACGGTCATCTGAGCCATCCGATTGGCCAGCGGTAGGCCTATAGTGCACTTGATTTGCTCTCTGGGCCCGCCGGGAAGGTAGAGTTTGTACCTTCAGACACATGAAATGGTTCAAAATGGCAACAGTTGGCCTACTCGGAGCGCAGGTCAGGTGAATCAGGTGCACCTACCGCCAACAGCCCGAGACTAATAAAACAAAATAGGAAAACAAGGTTTTATCGTTGGGTTTTTTACAGAAATGTTTGGTGATCAACTAGGAATGACTTGGAGATCGACCGGTTGGTGACCACTGCTCTAGAAAGTTGAGTGAAGTCTCTGTGGGCTGATATTACTGCGTGGTAGTCTCGGGGCTCGCAAGCACAGTTTAGAGGGAACATTGCTCCTAAACCCCTAACCCCTTACCATCATACCCCCTTACCCCCTAACTCCCTACCATCCTACTTCCTAACTGCCTTCCATCCTACCCCCTAACCCTCTACCATCCTACCTCCTAACCCCCTAACATCCTACCCACTAACTCCCTACCATCCTACTTCCTAACCGCCTTTCATCCTACCCCCTAACCCCCCTACCATCCTACCTCCTAACCCCCAACCCCCTACCATCCTACATCCTAACCCCCTACCATCCTACCTCCTAACCCCCTACCATCCTACCTCCTAACCCTCTAACCCCCCTACCATCCTACCTCCTAACGCCCTACCATCCTACCTCCTAACCCCCTACCATCCTACCCCCTACCATCCTCCCTCCTACTGGAAGACTCTACTAACTAACTCTGTCTATTATTTGTCCCAGTAGAGAGGTGAGTGACTGGAAGACTGTCTCTATATCATGTATTTTTTGATGTACAGTGTAGGGGGCCTTAGAGATACTACAGTATCACACTACAGTATAGCATGTGTTAGTACTTCAAGCCCTATGACTCTACCCCCTGCCAACCTCCTCACAGGCTTTCTCTCTAGTACACCGTCCCTGTAGATGTGTGGTGACTGGGAGAATCTACCAACTACGCCACTGGAATATTTAAATGTCCCTTTGTGCATTTCGGGACAACAAAAGAGACTGTTTATTTATTCAAGGACGCAAGTATAGCATCACCAGGAATACTGCTAGGGGGTGACATTAAAATTGAATCCCTGCCCAGTAGGTGTTGGGTGAACCGTATTAATATCCTTAAACCCTCAGCCCAGATCAATATGTGCAGCAGATTGGTCTGAATATGGTTGCCATGTCATGCTGGAGAGAAGGTTACATGTTTGGCATTCAAAGGAACAAATACAGCAGATAGGAGTTGGCTAGAGCACATCCAGATGGGACCTGGCTAGCTTCATTGAGATGATACATCCAGATGGGACCAGGCTAACTTCATTGAGATGACACATCCAGATGGGACCAGGCTAGCTTCATTGAGATGACACATCCAGATGGGACCAGGCTAGCTTCATTGAGATGACACATCCAGATGGGACCAGGCTAGCTTCATTGAGATGACACATCCAGATGGGACCAGGCTAGCTTCATTGAGATGACACATCCAGATGGGACCAGGCTAGCTTCATTGAGATGACACATCCAGATGGGACCAGGCTAGCTTCATTGAGATGACACATCCAGATGGGACCAGGCTAACTTCATTGAGATGACACATCCAGATGGGACAAGGCTAGCTTCATTGAGATGCCACATCCAGATGGGACCAGGCTAGCTTCATTGAGATGACACATCCAGATGGGACCAGGTTAGCTTCATTGAGATGACACATCCAGATGGGTCCAGGCCAGCTTCATTGAGATGACACATCCAGATGGGACCTGGCTAGTTTCATTGAGATGACACATCCAGATGGGACCAGGTTAGCTTCATTGAGATGACACATCCAGATGGGACCAGGCTAGCTTCATTGTGATGACACATCCAGATGGGACCAGGCTAGCTTCATTGAGATGACACATCCAGATGGGACCAGGCTAGCTTCATTATTATGACACATCCAGATGGGACCAGGCTAACTTCATTGTGATGACACATCCAGATGGGACCAGGCTAGCTTCATTGTGATGACACATCCAGATGGGACCAGGCTAGCTTCATTGAGACAGCATGGGTTCCAATGGGTTCCAGTTGAGCTGCTATCTCTGGAACACAGACCAATGCAGCATGGGTTCCAATGGGTTCCAGTTGAGCTGCTGTCTCTGGAACGCAGACCACTGTAGCATGGGTTCCAAAGGGTTCCAGTTGAGCTGTTATCTCTGGAACACAGACCACTGCAGCATGGGTTCCAATGGGTTCCAGTTGAGCTGTTATCTCTGGAACACAGACCACTGCAGCATGGGTTCCAATGGGTTCCAGTTTAGAGCTGCTGTCTCTGGAACACAGACCACTGCAGCATGGGTTCCAATGGGTTCCAGTTTAGAGCTGCTGTCTCTGGAACACAGACCACTGCAGCATGGGTTCCAATGGGTTCCAGTTGAGCTGCTGTCTCTGGAACGCAGACCACTGTAGCATGGGTTCCAAAGGGTTCCAGTTGAGCTGCTATCTCTGGAACACAGACCACTGCAGCATGGGTTCCAATGGGTTCCAGTTTAGAGCTGCTGTCTCTGGAACACAGACCACTGCAGCATGGGTTCCAATGGGTTCCAGTTGAGCTGCTGTCTCTGGAACACAGACCACTGCAGCATGGGTTCCAATGGGTTCCAGTTGAGCTGCTGTCTCTGGAACGCAGACCACTGTAGCATGGGTTCCAAAGGGTTCCAGTTGAGCTGCTATCTCTGGAACACAGACCACTGCAGCATGGGTTCCAATGGGTTCCAGTTTAGAGCTGCTGTCTCTGGAACACAGACCACTGCAGCATGGGTTCCAATGGGTTCCAGTTTAGAGCTGCTGTCTCTGGAACACAGACCACTGCAGCATGGGTTCCAATGGGTTCCAGTTGAGCTGCTGTCTCTGGAACACAGACCACTGCAGCATGGGTTCCAATGGGTTCCAGTTGAGCTGTTATCTCTGGAACACAGACCACTGCAGCATGGGTTCCAATGGGTTCCAGTTGAACTGCTGTCTCTGGAACGCAGACCACTGCAGCATGGGTTCCAATGGGTTCCAGTTGAACTGCTGTCTCTGGAACACATACCACTGTGTTCCAGACAGCATGGGTTCCAATACAGACCACTGCAGCATGGTTTCCAATGCAGACCACTGCAGCATGGGTTCCAATGCAGACCACTGCAGCATGGGTTCCAATGCAGACCACTGCAGCATGGGTTCCAATGCAGACCACTGCAGCATGGGTTCCAATGCAGACCACTGCAGCATGGGTTCCAATGCAGCCCACTACTATTTCAGCACACTCTCCTCTCTTTCTCTCTCCTATCCAATAAACACAAAGATGTAAGGAGTGGGACGACAACCACTCCTTAAAAAAATAATATAATCTATTTAGTAACATACTATCACATGTGAAAGGTATGAGTTGGTTGAACCATATGAATACCATTACATGAACCCTGTTCCCAGATCTGTATGTTCTTCAGCTAACCACTCTGGCTATCATGGTCAGGCCATAGTTGGCTAAAGCAGGACTTGGCGAAAGTGAATACAGATTGCACCAGGCTATCTTAAACTAGATTACACATATTATAATCTAAACCATAGCATCATACGTGGGCAGTGGACAAGGCTTGCTTAATTGAGATGATACATTAAGATGATTATCTATTTAGTAACATACCATAACTATAAAGAATATAGCCTTGAAGCCAGTCCCACAGTTTTTTAAATATAATTTGTGTTATCCGGGACTGATTAAGACTTGAGACACCAGGTGGGTGCAATGAATGTTCAGGTAGAACAGAAAAGCAGCAGTAGTCCAGACCTTGTAGGGTCAGATTGTAATCCCCTGTTATACAGGCTAACGTACCGTCACATGTGGGCAGAGGATGGCTCCACCAGTGGTTCTTCTCACAGACCAGGGGTTCCTCATGACTGAGCCTGTATCCCTTGTCACACTGGAACGACACTGTGGACCCGATGGCCAGGTCATGGCCGTACCGCACGCCGTTCACCGGGATCCCAGGGTCCATGCATGATGACGTGTCCAACGTCACAACTGAAAAATATGAAAATATTTCCACCATATGAAGTCGAAATAATACTCAGAAATTATGAAAATGATGATACTGCCCTTTTTGTGTAAGAGCTGTTTGAAAAAAATCCTGGAATTTCAGCCTGTTCAGCCTGGGATAGAACTTTAGGCCCACGTTATGACGTCACAAGGCGATCTGGTTATAATAGACCAATGACTGTTCATATGGGTAAGGGGGTGGACCATTCTATCAGCCAATCAGGGCTGTGTATGTAAATATCTTCACATTTCCTAATGCCCACACGATCAGACTGAGCATTTTAAAGGCCAAAGGAGGCTGAGGAAAATAAATGATAAAAAATATATGTTGGAGTTATTTTCATTAAATAAACACGCAGTGATTTATTGGACATACGGTGATGATTTAAAAATAAAAATTACAAAGACTGCATGGGGGGCTTTAAGCAAATGATCCCAATTCTAGTAGTAGCAGTTTGTGACTAGTTCATGATAAGTAGCCTAGGCTAGATTTAATAGCTCTATGATATTTAATATCTGGCTGATCTGTTGTTATTGTCTTAAAATACTGTATATTTTGTGTTTTCTTCCCATATAATCAAAATATACAGTATTACACCTACAACCCAATGGAATGTGTTTTAAATTTAAAGGGGTATTTCGGGATTTTGGCAAGGAGACCCTTTATCTACTTCCCCAGAGTCAGATGAACTCGTGGATACCATTTTTAATGTCACTTTGTACAGTATGAAGGAAGTTAGAGGTAGTTTCGCGAGCCAATGCTAACTAGCGTTAGCGCAATGACTATACGTCTATTGGTATCTGCTAGCATGATGGCAGATACCAATATACTTGCAGTTATTGCCAGTCATTGTGCTAATGCTAGTTAGCAATTGCGCTAGCGCTTGTTAGCAACTTCCTTCAAACTGCATGCAGAAACATAAAATGAATGGTATGCAGAAATATACAAATGGTAACGATGAATTAATTTGACTCTGGTGAAGTAGTTAAAGGGCCTCATTGTCAAAATGCCGAAGTATTCCTGTAAACATCTTGAATTAGGGTCAAATTTGAACAATTTCAAAAAAAAATATTAATCACGACTAACTACAGAAATTAATGCGATTAATTGTGATTAATTACTTTAATCATTTGACAGCCCTAATTTACATATACATATTTAGAATCCTACAATACTTCCAGTTTGGGACAGGATTGATAAATTCCATAAATATTCCATCTAGAAGCAATAGCAGCGCGTTGTGCTAAGTAAGGGTCCCACAGATAATTTTATGATAGAGAAAATTTCACTCATTCTGTTCATTTTAGCAGCTGAAATGCTTTCCAGAGCAAGTACAGGAAGTCAGTTTATTTACACTCTACGACACAGATATAATTCAGGCTACCTACTGCACATCATAAGTAGGGCCTATCATGACCCTAATCTTGCTGATCAGAGCTGTGTTTATGCTTGCTGCTTGATAAGAATGACTCAAGTCCAGTCTCACAGGGTCTCGTTCATAGTTTTTACATTTACATTTTACTCATTTAGCAGATGCTCTTATCCAGAGCGACTTACAGGAGCAATTAGGGTTAAGTGCCTTGCTCAAGGGCACATCGACAGATTTTTCACCTAGACCTTTCGGTTACTGGCACAACGCTCTTAACCACTAAGCTACCTAACGCCCCAGACAAGTGTGTACATTCACAACTCAGACTTTCGCATAAATCATTCATTGACTTCAATAAAACTAGAGCTTGTTGTTGTCTCGTACTACTTTCATTAATTGATATCAATGGGAGACTTGTACCATATATGTGTTTGGGTCCCTAGTCAGAACACCACTCATAACGCCCACAAATACATATTGTTGTCGCCTCACTCTCGTAGAAGATCTTGAAGCCGCTGTTGGATCTGCTGTTGTCAGTGATGAAGAGGAGGTAAATGAAGTTACTACTGCTGAACAGGAACTGGGGGGCCTGGGTCCCGTTGAACGAGCCAATCAGAGGTGAGAGCAGGTTGGGACCATCATGCACCTCCAGGAAGTCATAGCTGAGCTCCGTCTGGAACCTGACACACAGGAAAGATGAAAAAAGGGGAAGGGAAAGGAGGGAAGAGGAGGGGGAAGGGGAGAGGGGAGAAAGGGAAGATTTCTAAGGCTAGTTCCGAAAGTCATGCGCTCCTTTTCTCCCTTCTCTTTCCCTCCTTTTTGGGGAGAGGAACCCTTTTTTTCATTATTAATTCATTCCTCCCCCCTCCTCCACCCTCCCCCCACCCCCTACCCAACCCCGCCCTTATTCCTTTGTCCTCCCCCCACCCATCCACCCCTCATCCACCCTCCTGACCAAAATCTTCACAAGAAATTCTTACAATAATTTGACAGGGCAAAGATATGCTTTGGCCCTCCAGGCCTTTACAGTTTAAAACAGATGACATCACCCAGACCAGAAGCTCGCCCTCCCTCCGCCTCTACATATATAAACAATGACATCATCCAGACCAGCATCTTCTCTCATCCCCTCCAATGGCCCTCCACAATCTAAAACAGATTCCATCAGCCAGACAAGAGCTCTCCATCCCTCCAGGCCTCTACAATATAAAACAGATGACATCAGCCAGACAAGAGCTCTCCATCCCTCCAGGCCTCCACAGTATAAAACAGGTGACATCAGCCAGACCAGAGCTCTCCATCCCTCCGGGCCTCTACAGTATAAAACAGATGACATCAGTCAGACCAGAGCTCTCCATCCTTCCAGGCCTCTACAGTAGAAAACAGATGACATCAGTCAGACCAGAGCTCTCAATCCCTCCAGGCCTCCACAGTATAAAACAGATGACATCAGTCAGCCCAGAGCTCTCCATCAATAACATTTTAAACAGCCTTCAGCCTACTGAGAGACACAATTCTGTCTATAGTATTAATATAACGTCTGAAATACAATACAGTATCAAGCCCCATCCATCTAAACAAAAGAACCCAACAGATTGTAATGGACTATTTGAAAGAGACACACTTTGTCTATAACATTCATCTAAACTCTGAAGTACCATCTAATCTGACTTGGGGATTGAGTTACATCCCAGTCTAAAGCAAGGAGCATCAACCTTTGGGAGAAAAAAGTTATATATTTTGCCTCTGACTTTTGAGAGTCATTCCCTGTCTGGGTTCTGGGTGCTGTGCTGTCATACAGACCTGTCAAAACTGATCTTGACAGAGCGTCCGGGCGTTGCCTCGATGACCCACTCACAGCTGAGGGAGTCCTTATAGTAGCCAGGCCACCCTGGGGACAGGATCACTCCAGATGGAGCAGAGTAGTGGCCTCCACAGGGAGCTACACAGGGTCAGGGAGGGTGGGATGGAGGGATAGAGTTGTGGGGTTGAGAGAGAGAGAGAGATATAGAGAGAGAGAGAAGAGAGCATAGAGAGGAGAGAGAGATTCGACGCGAGAGATCCGAGAGACTCGATATAGACTTCGCGGTACTTTAGAGAGGATCGCGTCTACGCAGCTCTCGAATTCTCTAGCGCCATCTCGCTCTGGCTCTAGCGTAGTCTTCGCGCGTCCCGCTCTCTCTTCTTGCCGCGCCTAACGCGAGCGGTTAGGCGAGCAGGGTGGGAGAGAGAGAGACAAATCTCAATAGCGGAGAGAGCTCTCTCTCTGCGCTATTCTCTCTGCTTCTCTCCTCTCTATCAGCGCTATCTCCTCTATCTTCTCTCTTTAGTACTCTCTATATCCCTCTCACCGTCACCCTCTGCTATCCCCATTATCATCACATCTGCTCGCGACTATCTCCTCATATCTTACCTACCATACTGATCGATTATTGGCACGTTCTCCTCATTCTCTCCTCATTTCCGTGTAGATCTCATAACCGATGCTCTCAGGGACGAGAGCGACAGCAGCGAAGACGGAGAGGGCAGAGAGAGACAACGCTAAGAAAGGGGAGAGGAAGTGAGAGACACACCAAGAGACAATAAGAGACAAGAGAGAGAGACGCTGATGTGAGACATGTCCTACTCTCTCTGCTCCAACTGCCTTTCTCTCAACCGCTATATCACCTATCGCTCTCCAAGCTTCTCCCTTTACTCCCTATAGTCTTCTGAGATAGCGGCACTAGACGATACAGAGCTTATAGAATACTTTATAGTGTCCTAACTTAAGTATTAAGTACCGGTTCATGTGTACTGCATCCCAAATGCCACCCTATTCACTACTGTTGACCAGGGCCTATGTAGGGAATAGGGGTGCTATTTGGGACCGACCCATGGAGAGAGGGAGGCAGTGATCTGCTGTACTGTTAGAGCTGCGTATCTCCCTGCAACCTTAAGGACATGACCAACATACAGAGAGATGTATCTACTGTAGCAGAGGAATCTGTTGTAAAGCCAGGGAATAGACTAGAGACATGTTGGCTCTATTCCTACTACATCAACTGCTTTAAGTTGTCTCAGATCAAGTGGGGGAAAAAAGTATTTAGTCAGCCACCAATTGTGCAAGTTTTCCCACTTAAAAAGATGAGAGAGGCCTGTAATTTTCATTATAGGTACACGTCAACTATGACAGACAAAATGAGAAAAAAAAATCCAGAAAATCACATTGTAGGATTTTTAATGAATTTATTTGCAAATTATGGTGGAAAATAAGTATTTGGTCAATAACAAAAGTTTCTCAATACTTTGTTATATACCCTTTGTTGGCAATGACACAGGTCAAACGTTTTCCTAAGTCTTCACAAGGTTTTCACACACTGTTGCTGGTATTTTGTCCCATTCCTCCATGCAGATCTCCTCTAGAGCAGTGATGTTTTGGGGCTGTCGCTGGGCAACACAGACTTTCAACTCCCTCCAAAGATTTTCTATGGGGTTGAGATCTGGAGACTGGCTAGGCCACTCCAGGACCTTGAAATGCTTCTTACGAAGCCACTCCTTCGTTGCCCGGGCGGTGTGTTTGGGATCATTGTCATGCTGAAAGACCCAGCCACGTTTCATCTTCAATGCCCTTGCTGATGGAAGGAGGTTTTCACTCAAAATCTCACGATACATGGCCCCATTCATTCTTTCCTTTACACGGATCAGTCGTCCTGGTCCCTTTGCAGAAAAACAGCCCCAAAGCATGATGTTTCCACCCCCATGCTTCACAGTAGGTATGATGTTCTTTGGATGCAACTCAGCATTCTTTGTCCTCCAAACACGACGAGTTGAGTTTTTACCAAAAAGTTCTATTTTGGTTTCATCTGACCATATGACATTCTCCCAATCCTCTTCTGGATCATCCAAATGCACTCTAGCAAACTTCAGACGGGCCTGGACATGTACTGGCTTAAGCAGGGGGACACGTCTGGCACTGCAGGATTTGAGTCCCTGGCGGCGTAGTGTCTCTACTGATGGTAGGCTTTGTTACTTTGGTCCCAGCTCTCTGCAGGTCATTCACTAGGTCCCCCCGTGTGGTTCTGGGATTTTTGCTCACCGTTCTTGTGATCATTTTGACCCCACGGGGTGAGATCTTGCGTGGAGCCCCAGATCGAGGGAGATTATCAGTGGTCTTGTATGTCTCCCATTTCCTAATAATTGCTCCCACAGTTGATTTATTCAAACCAAGCTGCTTACCTATTGCAGATTCAGTCTTCCCAGCCTGGTGCAGGTCTACAATTTTGTTTCTGGTGTCCTTTGACAGCTCTTTGGTCTTGGCCATAGTGGAGTTTGGAGTGTGAGTGTTTGAGGTTGTGGACAGGTGTCTTTTATACTGATAACAAGTTCAAACAGGTGCCATTAATACAGGTAACGGGTGGAGGACAGAGGAGCCTCTTAAAAAAGAAGTTACAGGTCTGTGAGAGCCAGAAATCTTGCTTGTTTGTAGGTGACCAAATACTTATTTTCCACCATAATTTGCAAATAAATTCATAAAAGATCCTACAATGTGATTTTCTGGATTTTTTTTGTCAATTTGTCTGTCATAGTTGACGTGTACCTATGATGAAAATTACAGGCCTCTCTCATCTTTTTAAGTGGGAGAACTTGCACAATTGGTGGCTGACTAAATACTTTTTTTCCCCACTGTAAATGGCAAATACATTTGGTTTTAATTCAATGCATCTCAATGCAACTTAAATGTGGCCTGTGGCACTCTGTGGATTTAGGGATTAAAAAACAATTTCTGGCTACACTTGAACGTATAAAACCATATAAAAAGTATGGAGAAAGTATGGAGAAATGATAATGGACCTATATATTTTGAAATAGCTGCCCCTTTTCCGTCCTGCAAATTGACTTTGACAAACAAATTGGTCAGAAGTGGCCCTCCGTTGAATTGGGGAGATCCCGATGTGGCCCTTGAACCAAAATGATTGTCCACCCTGCCTTAGTGCAATTATTATTATGGCTACTGCCACATGCCACAGGCCCAGGAGGTATAACAACACAGATAGATAGAAAACATTAATGCTATCTAATCCTCAAATAATATCCTTTAAAATGACTTCATCATCACCATCTGCAGTCCTGCCTTCACATTTAGAGCAGGTCCTGGTGCAGTATAACTGAAGCATAACACTATCCATCCACTGGAAATGTTTGAATAATGAATCATTGTTACCTTCACATTTAGGGATGGGTCCGCTCCACATGACCTTGCCCCCCTCCAGCTGGCAGGTGATGGTGTCAGTGCCCTGGGTCTTGATGAAGCCCTCCTCACACACCACAGAGACAGAGCTACCCAGCTGGAAACTGTCCCCAAACCGTCTGGCATTCAGAGGGACGCCTGGATCCGGACACTCATTGTGGCCAAATGCTGGAGGGGAGGGAGGGAGGGAGGGAACATGGTATAGTGTCTAATGAGAAATAAGGCCTTTCAAAAAAGAGGATCAAGAAAGAGATGTGAGAAGAAAAGATAACTTTCTTGTGTGAGAAGAAAATATAACTCTCTCACTGCTAGCGTACAGTAGGTCTCAGAACAACAATACCTTATCTAGGGACTGCACTGCCTTCACAGAGGAGAACAGATACTAAGGTTGTATTCAACCATATAATAGCCTGGGATATCATTCCCATTGAAACTGAGGGCCGTTCGTGTGCTGCCTCAATTTCATCCGCTTGTATGGTAGAATTGTAACAGACATAATGTAGTTGGCATTACATACGTACAATACATGACAATGCTGTGTATTTGGCCGTCAGTGCCCTCTCAACAATATCAGATGTATGACACATCTGTTAATAGAGCCTTGCAATAGATTGGGGTTTTCTTTGACAGGTTTGTTTTACAATATAACGTTGACACAACATTAATCCAACAGCTATCTGCCCTGTGAGTGTACTGATCACTGTAGTTGATATTGAAGCTACAGTGTTCTGATTACTGTAGTTGATATTGAAGCTACAGTGTTCTGATTACTGAAGTTGATATTGAAGCTACAGTGTTCTGATTACTGTAGTTGATATTGAAAATACAGTGTTAGATAAAGTCCACATTATATACAATGAAACACAAGACTGTACATTTGTAAAAAATAAAAAAATAATAATAATAATCCAAGTTGTCACATCCACTGGATAGGTGAAGTGAAATGTGTTGTTTTACACGGTCAGCCACAGCAGTATGGTGCCCCTGGAGAAAATTAAGGTTAAGTGCCTTGCTCAAGGGCACATCGACAGATTTTTCACTTTGTCATCTCAGGTATTCGAACCAGCATCCTTTCGGTGACTGGCCCAATGATAAGAGATGTATGACACATTACATTTTAGTCATTTAGCAGACGCTCTTATCCAGAGCGATTTACACTTAGTGAGTGCATACATTATTTTTTTCTTTTTCATACTGGCCCCCCGTGGGAATTGAACCCACAACCCTGGCGTTGCAAACGCCATGCTCTACCAACTGAGCTACATCCCTGCCGGCCATTCCCTCCCCTACCCTGGACGACGCTGGGCCAATTGTGCGCCACCCCATGGGTCTCCTGGTCGCGGCCGGCTACGACAGAGCCTGGATTCAAACCAGGATCTCTAGTGGCACAGCTAGCACTGTGATGCAGTGCCTTAGACCACTGCGCCACTCGGGAGATCTAATACATCTAATAGTACAGCCTTGCAAAAGTGTGCCTTGCAGTATGACGTTGAACGAATGCTAATTCAAGGTACATTTAGTCATCAGTGCCTACTCAGAAATGTGACCTGCATGACATATCTGGTAATAATCGAGTATTGTACTGACTGCTGTAGGTGATGTTGAATCCTCTTCCAGACATGGAGTGGTCTGCCTGGAACTCCAGCTGTAGTATGTTGGTGTTGGAGCTGAAGTGAGAGGGCACCTCCGCTCCTGAGTACCTCCCCAGGATGGACGAGCCCATCTGGTACAACCACATCATATCAAACATTATTTACAGTGCATTTAAACAACACTCTTAAAAAAACAACACACTTAAACAACATAACACTTATTGCAAAACAAGAAAATGAAAGAAATAAACGCAAACCAAGAGACAATAGGAGATGAACTAACCACAAACCAAGAGGCAATAAGAGATGAACTAACCACAAACCAAGAGACAAAAAGAGATGAATTAACCACAAACCAAGAGACAATAAGAGATGAACTAACCACAAACCAAGAGACAATAAGAGATGAACTAACCACAAACCAAGAGACAATAAGAGATTAACTAACCACAAACAAAGAGGCAATAAGGTTAAGTGCCTTGCTCAAGGGCACATCGACAGATTTTTCACTTTGTCACCTCAGGTATTCGAACCAGCATCCTTTCGGTGACTGGCCCAATGATAAGAGATGTATGACACATTACATTTTAGTCATTTAGCAGACGCTCTTATCCAGAGCGATCTGGTGCAACCAATTACCTTCAGAAGTCACATAATTAGTTTTAAAAAGTTCACCCACATGCATCTAAGTGTCACATGATCTGTCACATGATCTCAGTATATATACACCTGTTCTGAAAGGCCCCAGAGTCTGCAACACCACTAAGCAAGGGGCACCACCAAGCAAGTGGCACCATGAAGACCAAGGAGCTCTCCAAACAGGTCAGGGACAAAGTTGTGGAGAAGTACAGATCAGGGTTGGGTTATAAAAAATGTGGCAAACGCCATCCAAAACTTTGAACATCCCACGGAGCACCATTAAATTCATTAATAAAAAATGGAAAGAACATGGCACCACAACAAACCTGCCAAGAGAGGGCTGCCCACCCAAACTCACAGACCAGGCAAGGAGGGCATTAATCAGAGAGGCAACAAAGAGACCAAAGATAGCCCTGAAGGAGCTGCAAAGCTCCACAGCGGAGACTGGAGTATATGTCCATAGGACCACTTTAAGCCGTACACTCCACAGAGCTGGGCTTTACAGAAGAGTGGCCAGAAAAAAAGCCATTGCTTAAAGAAAAAAATAAGCAAACACATTTGGTGTTCGCCAAAAGGCATGTTGGAGGCTCCCCAAACATATGGAAGAAGGTACTCTGGTCAGATGAGACTAAAATTCAGCATTTTGGCCATCAAGGAAAACGCTATGCCTGGCGCAAACCCAACATCTCTCATCACCCCGAGATCACCATCCCCACAGTGAAGCATGGTGGTGGCAGCACCATGCTGTGGGGATGTTTTTCATCGGCAGGGACTGGGAAACTGGTCAGAATTGAAGGAATGATGGATGGCGCTAAATACAGGGATATTCTTGAGGGAAACCTGTATCCAGCAGGACAATGACCCTAAGCATACTGCTAAAGCAACACTTGAGTGGTTTAAGGGGAAACATATAAATGTCTTGAAATGGCCTAGTCAAAGCCCAGACCTCAATCCAATTGAGAATCTGTGGTATGACTTAAAGATTGCTGTACACCAGCGAAGCTGGAGCAGTTTTGCCTTGAAGAATGGGCAAAAATCCCAGTGGCTAGATGTGCCAAGCTTATAGAGACATACCCCAAGAGACTTGCAGCTATAATTGCTGCAAAAGGTGGCTCTACAAAGTATTGACTTTTGGGGGGTGAATAGTTATGCATGCTCAAGTTTTCTGTTTTTTTTGTCTTATATCTTGTTTGTTTCACCCCCCAAAAATTTTTGCATCTTCAAAGTGGTAGGCATGTTGTGTAAATCAAATGATACAAACCCCCCCAAAAATAAATTTTAATTCCAGGTTGTAAGGCAACAAAATAGGAAAAATGTCAAGGGGGTGAATACTTTCGCAAGCCACGGTATCAATCAATTCATTACCTGGTCTCCGTCCTTCACGGTGAGGAAGTCGTATGGAGGCTCCAGGTCAAAGTCGTTGAAGGCCAGGTGGATCCGGCTGCCGGGCTCAGAGATGATGATCCACACACAGTTCAGGTTGTTCCCATAGCCCTCTGGGTAGTCAGGGGACAGCACAGTGCCCATGGCCGCCGTGAAGTTGGAGAAACATGGGACTGTGGGAGTAGGAAAAGGAATGGGTTAGGTGTGGAAATGTTTAAGTTCGCATGTCCATATGTTATGTTCATCAAGATATTCCATGGAGGCAGGATGGGAGGGTTTTCCTATAAATGTACATACTGCACCACATGGTGCTACAGTGGGGAAAAAAAGTATTGAGTCAGCCACCAATTGTGCAAGTTCTCCCACTTAAAAAGATGAGAGAGGCCTGTAATTTTCATCATAGGTACACGTCAACTATGACAGACAAAATGAGATTTTTTTTTCCAGAAAATCACATTGTAGGATTTTTAATGAATTTATTTGCAAATTATGGTGAAAAATAAGTATTTGGTCAATAACAAAAGTTTCTCAATACTTTGTTATATACCCTTTGTTGGCAATGACACAGGTCAAACGTTTTCTGTAAGTCTTCACAAGGTTTTCACACACTGTTGCTGGTATTTTGGCCCATTCCTCCGTGCAGATCTCCTCTAGAGCAGTGATGTTTTGGGGCTGTCGCTGGGCAACACGGACTTTCAACTCCCTCCAAAGATTTTCTATGGGGTTGAGATCTGGAGACTGGCTAGGCCACTCCAGGACCTTGAAATGCTTCTTATGAAGCCACTCCTTTGTTGCCCGGGCGGTGTGTTTGGGATCATTGTCATGCTGAAAGACCCAGCCACGTTTCATCTTCAATGCCCTTGCTGATGGAAGGAGGTTTTCACTCAAAATCTCACGATACATGGCCCCATCCATTCTTTCCTTTACACGGATCAGTCGTCCTGGTCCCTTTGCAGAAAAACAGCCCCAAAGCATGATGTTCCCACCCCCATGCTTCACAGTAGGTATGGTGTTCTTTGGATGCAACTCAGCATTCTTTGTCCTCCAAACACGACGAGTTGAGTTTTTACCAAAAAGTTCTATTTTGGTTTCATCTGACCATATGACATTCTTCCAATCCTCTTCTGGATCATCCAAATGCACTCTAGCAAACTTCAGATGGACCTGGACATGTACTGGCTTAAGCAGGGGGACACGTCTGGCACTGCAGGATTTGAGTCCCTGGCGGCGTAGTGTGTTACTGATGGTAGGCTTTATTACTTTGTTCCCAGCTCTCTGCAGGTCATTCACTAGGTCCCCCCGTGTGGTTCTGGGATTTTTGCTCACCGTTCTTGTGATCATTTTGACCCCACGGGGTGAGATCTTGCGTGGAGCCCCAGATCGAGGGAGATTATCAGTGGTCTTGTATGTCTTCCATTTCCTAATAATTGCTCCCACAGTTGATTTCTTCAAACCAAGCTGCTTACCTATTGCAAATTCAGTCTTCCCAGCCTGGTGCAGGTCTACAATTTTGTTTCTGGTGTCCTTTTATAAGGGATCGGGGTTTGGCTGGATCTAGACAGAGTCTGACACTTCCCCGATCTACTGAGAGGGGGAGTCATCAGACTCGATCTGTTTCACCTGAGTTCTGAGCACACCTGTCAGTAATTAGAGTAGGATATAGGTGTGCTCAGAAGTTCAGTTGGTGCGAGGTATTGTTCCTTTGTGACTTGCTAAGCGTTTTGTTCAGAGAGAGAGAGAGATAGTTTGTTTTTGATTACCAGTGTACCAGACCTGTGCTTCGTTGTTTGACTCCCCGAATTGCTTAATCCTCTGCTTGTCTATCCCAGTGATTACCGTACTCTGAACCTGTGCCCGTGCCCGTGCCCGTGCCCTCGACTACGACTACGCCCGCTCCCTTGGTACCTCTGCCTGTCTCTGCCTTGCCCGGTTTTGACCACAGCTCGCCAGACCACGATTAAGCTATTTCCTTGTCTGTACTCTAATAAAGCATCGCAATTCTGCGATTGGATCTTACCACTCTGTCCGAGTATTCATTACACCTTTGACAGCTCTTTGGTCTTGGCCATAGTGGAGTTTGGAGTGTGACTGTTTGAGGTTGTGGACAGGTGTCTTTTATACTGATAACAAGTTCAAACAGGTGCCATTAATACAGGTAAGAGCCAGAAATCTTGCTTGTTTGTAGGTGACCAAATACTTATTTTCCACCATAATTTGCAAATAAATTCATAAAAAATCCTACAATGTGATTTTCTGGATTTTTTTCCCTCAATTTGTCTGTCATAGTTGACGTGTACCTATGATGAAAATTACAGGCCTCTCTCATCTTTTTAAGTGGGAGAACTTGCACAATTCGTGGCTGACTAAATACTTTTTTTCCCCACTGTATGTTACATATGGGATGTAAAACCTGAAAAGAGTAATAATGTATTTCATCATTTATTTTAATATAAACATATTCCACAGAATTACCTTGTTGCTTTAACATGGAATTACCAACAATGAACATACTTATCCATGCTCTGCAAGGCAACGGGATGCAGTCCATATACTCACATATGCAAATAGGGATGTTAGCAGACCATTGGTTGTTGTTCTGACAGGTGATCATCCTCTCTCCAATCAGCTCGAAGCCAAATTGGCACTCGAACCGCAGCACGTTCCCATTCAGAAACCCACTGCCCTCCTGGAAGCCATACAGAGGTGTGCCTGGGTCCCCGCAACTCTCCTTATCAATCTCTGTCAGAGAATGAGGCAGGGATCAGTCAAATAGTCCTTTATCTGTTTCATACTGATAGTAAATGGATTATAGGTTCTCTGGTGCTGGGCCAGGTCTGGGATGGAGGTAGTCTGGTGCTGGGCCAGGTCTGGGATGGAGGTAGTCTGGTGCTGGGCCAGGTCTGGGATGGAGGTAGTCTGGTGCTGGGCTAGATCTGGGATGGAGGTAGTCTGGTGCTGGGCCAGGTCTGGGATGGAGGTAGTCTGGTGCTGGGCCAGGTCTGGGATGGAAGTCGCTCTGGATAAGAGCGTCTGCTAAATTATGTAAATGTAAATGTAATGGAGGTGTTGGAGAGTGTTTTTACCTTTTTGATCTTGAAGTTGAGTTTGTGATTGGTCAAATGTTTTAAAGTTGTATAATTTATCTGAAAAGGGGTCTGTATGACAATGTGTCTAAGGCTGGGGCTAGGAGCTGGGGCTAGGAGCTGGGGGCTGGGGCTGTGGGCTGGGGGCTGGGGCTGGGGGCTGGGGGCTAGGTGCTGGGGGCTGGGGATGGGGGCACGTCTGGGCTAAGGTAGTTTGATAGTGTCTGTATTTCAACGTTTTATCATTATCTGCACAGGGGAGGACTTTATACTGTGTCTAGGGATTAAGAGTTTGAGAGTGTCTGCACCTTTATAGTTGATCTTGAAACCGATAGATCCCACGCTCTCATCAGACTGAAGGTGCAGCCACATTTGATGGGACATGCTGACAATAAGGTCAGGCACGAAGCTGCCCGTCAGCCTGCAGATAAGAGCACAATACAGACAATAGCCTGTCACAATACTGCCCTTCAGCCAATCAGATCGGTTGTTATTGTAAATAAGAATCTGTTCTTAATTTACTTATCTGTCTAAATACAGGTTCAATACATATAAATAAGAGACAGGGTTATCGTAAAAGCTATTTACCTTTTCTAAACAACCAGGCATGTAAGAGAGACTTGAAAATAAGTAATTATTGTAAACAACAAACATGTTTATTAGGTAGGGTTAATAATAACATTTGATAACAACGTGGAACGTCAGTAGACTTAATTGAACCATAAAACAATAGACATGTTTATTAGTTAGGGTTAATATTAACATGTTATAACAACGTGGAACGTAAGTTGACTTAAACCATTAAACAACAGACATGTTTATTAGTTAGGGTTAATATTAACATTTTATATCAACGTGGAACGTAAGTTGACTTAAACCATTAAACAACAGACATGTTTATGAGTTAGGGTTAATATTAAGATTTTATAACAACGTGGAACATAAGTGGACTTAATTAAACCATTAAACAACAGGTATGTTTATTAGTTAGGGTTAATATTAACATTTTATTACAATGTGGAACGTAAGTGGACTTAATTAAACCATTAAACAACAGACATGTTTATTAGTTAGGGTTAATATTAACATTTTATATCAACGTGGAACATAAGTTGACTTAATTAAACCATTAAACAACAGACATGTTTATTAGTTAGGGTTAATATTAACATTTTATAACAATGTGGAACGTAAGTGGACTTAAGTAAACCATTAAACAACAGACATGTTTATTAGTTAGGGTTAATATTAACATTTTATATCAACGTGGAACATAAGTTGACTTAATTAAACCATTAAACAACAGACATGTTTATTAGGTAGGGTTAATATTAACATTTTATAACATGGAATGTAAGTTGACTTAATTAAACCATTAAACAACAGACATGTTTATTAGTTAGGGTTAATATTAACATTTTGTAACAACATGGAACATAAGTTGACTTAATTAAACCATTAAACAACAGACATGTTTATTAGTTAGGGTTAATATTAACATTTTATAACAACGTGGAACGTAAGTGGACTTAATTAAACCATCAAACAACAGACATGTTTATTTAAGTATAATCTCCCAGCTAGATTTGGTTCTGGGATCTGAGGATAATTCAAGCATTATACTTACACTTGTATTATCGTTCTTGAATCCCCAACCTCCCCTCCGTCTCCAATGGTTAATGAGTCATAGCCGATCTCCAGGTCAAACTCCTCAAAGTTGATCTGGATAACCTGTTGAAGTATATTGATTACAATTTATTTTCTTATTCGTCATTTCATGGAAACATCCGACGGTAAAGTTTGTCTGCCAGAGTAACATATACGGTACATGCATACACACAACATATAATGATAACGTATTTTATACTCATTTATATTATACACATTATTCATTGGACAACAAAATGAATGCATCACTTATTTGACTTGATTGATTTCTCTTGAGTCCAGCAGAAATAAACAGTGTGTTCATTTGAATGCCTGTATAATAAGACATGGTATCTGGTAAATGACAGCTAATCCACCCCTGATACAAAGCTTTAGAGAAGATAACAGCAACACAATCACAATCCATCCAGCTACTGTATGCATTGGTATTAAATCATCATGTCACAATATGAGATCAGAGAATCATTCAACATTTACCTCAAATCACATTCCTAACAGACATACTACCAGCTGGTGATTTTCATAAACACACCTTTGGGAGAATGTTTAGAATCACATTAATTCAAGTAATTTTCAGATGTTTACTAAATATCCACCCACAGCTTTCAGTTCACAATGAGTGAAAGATAATTAAATCAAACACAAAGAAAAGAAATGAATCCTACAAGTCCTATCAAACAGATGATGTAATCAGGTAGACACGTGTGTTTCTCGCACCAAAAGCAAGGCCATGAATTGTTCAAACCAGAAGCACTGCAAATGGTCTTCAGGGAGGACTTTATAGATTGCTAATGGCATGGTCTTGACAAGCCGCTCAGAACACAAATCAAATATTGAGAAGCAATCATGCAAAGATACAACTTGAGATTCACTTATTGACTGAAATAATGAATTGCCTTTCAGTCTTCCCTTTTATAAATATTCTGGTCACAGTCAGCTACGACTGCTTCCTGAATGGCACCCTATTTACCAGAGCCATATGGGCCCTGGTCAAAAGTAGTGTATTATATAGGGAATAGTGTGCTATTTGGGATGCAGTCATAGCTGACTGTGACCGAGCTACTTTCCTCCCTTTATTTAATCGTACACAGAACCAAATATAATATGACACATGCAGGGAGGCTTTTAACACAACCAAATATAATATGACACATGCAAGGAGGCTTAATCTGAATTAAGAAAAACCCACATGAAGCTGAGATTAAAGCTTTAAATTGCCACGCATGTCACATCTGTTGATGACAACAGCAAAAATGATGGCAACATGCTTCTGTTGTTCTCTAGGACCGTGTAGCGTCTGTGCTTTGGGACAGGACAGGACATTGTCTTTGTATAGTGCACTTTACCAAATGGCCACTGGTCAAAGGTAGTGCACTAAATAGGGTAAACGGGTGCCATTTGGGATGCACCATATGCCTGCAGTGTGTTCATGTAAAAAAACCAAAACATTCTAATTAGCAATGCAGACACACTGCATAATTATCCTAATGACGTTAGGTAACGTTAGCTAACACATGGTAATGTAATACATAGATAATGATTTCAATGTCAACGAGAGACTGGGAGAGCATAGGAGAGCTGACAGGTAAGGGCTTAAGCATATTATCCATACCTTATTGGGGTCACCAGCAGTGATAACCCACACACAGTGGGAATTACTCTCGTACTGGATGGGGAAATTGGGAGACGTGAAAGTCCCCGATGGACCATGGAGAGTTGATCCGCACGTTTTCACTGAAAGAAGAGAAAGGAGTGAAATGTTTATATGCAGAGAGGGAATAATACATTGTGTAAAGGCCTGCTGGTGTAATACTCTCTGCTATCATACAATATTAACAGAGTTAAAGGATTGACCATTAGAATCTGCATATATCCACAGGCCCTGGTTTAATCAAAGCATGTATCTAGATTAGATGCACCGGGCGGAGGGCCTCACCTTTGCAGACAGGTCTGTGGTCGCTCCAAGCAGCGAACACCTCCGCTACCCTCTGACAGGTGATGGTTTTGGAGCCTTGCAGCACATGGTCCTCATCACAGGTAAACTGAGCCGTTGCTCCAATGCTTGAACAGATAACAACACATTCATGTAATAAATGAATGAACAGATAACAACAAATTCATGTAATAAATGAAGTCTTTACAAAAGAGAAAACGGTTGAGAGGAGCTCCTCCCACACACTCTAATATAATAAGAAGCTTTTGGATCGCTTGGAATAAGGACTGAGGACATATTATGGACAGATGGACTGAGGCCATAATATGGACAGATGGACTGAGGACATATTATGGACAGATGGACTGAGGACATATTATGGACAGATGGACTGAGGACATATTATGGACAGATGGACTGAGGCCATATTATGGACAGATGGACTGAGGACATATTATGGACAGATGGACTGAAGACATATTATGGACAGATGGACTGAGGACATATTATGGACAGATAGACTGAGGACATATTATGGACAGATGGATTGAGGACATATTATGGACAGATAAACTGAGGACATATTATGGACAGATGGATTGAGGACATATTATGGACAGATGGATTGAGGACATATTATGGACGGACTGAAGCCTTAACTGCAAATGGCATTAAAATATATAGTTTTCACTCTGTTTTACTAGGGCTATAGTCTAGAGGTTTTATTCTGGCTGCATCTCACAGGGCACTACTTTTGACCAGGGCCCATTTGGGACACAACCCATGGCAGGTAGACAGGCATGTTTAGTTACAGATGAGCTCACCTGAAGTCGGAGCCGCTGCGTTTGCCGTTCTCAGGTTCCCCCGGGTCCGGGCAATAATTGGACACCTGTTTAATTCCTCCTTCATTCACTGTAGGAACACGATAACAGGTAGAACCACAATGCACTGTTAATGGTTATCATGATTATTGATTCACTATAGAAACACACCAATCAGGTAGAACCACAATGCACTGTTACTGGTTATCAGGATTATTGATTCACTATAGAAACACACCAATCAGGTAGAACCACAATGCACTGTTACTGGTTATCAGGCTTATTGATTCACTATAGAAACACACCAATCAGGTAGAACCATAATGCACTGTTACTGGTTATCAGGCTTATTGATTCACTATAGAAACACACCAATCAGGTAGACCCATAATGAACGGTTGGGAAAACAATTAGATAACACATTGTGGGAGGAAATGAGCACCATTAATTGGAGCTACATGTACAGTACTAATATTTACTAAGGTCATCTATTGGTTATCCTTGAAGTCCTTGAAGAGGAGGAGGAGGAGAGGAGATGAGAGGAGAGGAGAGGAGAGGAGAGGAGAGGAGAGGAGAGGAGAGGAGAGGAGAGGAGAGGAGAGGAGAGGAGAGGAGAGGAGAGGAGAGGAGAGGAGAGGAGAGGAGAGGAGAGGAGAGGAGAGGAGAGGGGCGAGAGAGGAGGAAGAGGAGGAGAGAAAATCTTTGTAGGAAACTCACCACAATCATGTATTCAATTGTATATGTCATACAAATACACCACTAACATACAGTATAAGGTAAAACACACAGTCTTACCAGATCCTTATTAGAAGGCTTATTAGATTTTTCTAGAAATAATACACGATTCTTATCTGATTTTCATGACTCTTTTCCACATGGGTATCCAGCCTACCTTTACAGAGTAATGGGGGGCGTTTGTCAAAAAGACCTTTTGAGTTCCACGTAGAACCCTTTACACAGACGGTTCTACATGGAACCCAAAATACATATATATTTTTTTACTTCGTGATATCCAAATTGGTAGCTACAGTCTTGTCCCATCACTGCAACTCCCCTACGGACTCGGGAGAGGCAAAGGTCGAGAGCCGTGCATCCCCCGAAACAGGATCCTGCCAAGCCGCATTGCTTCTTGACACACTGCTCGCTTAACCTGGAAGCCAGCCGCACCAATGTGTCGGAGGAAACACTGTCCAGCTGGCGACCGAAGTCAGCTTGCAGGCGCCCTGCCCGCCACAAGGATTTGCTAGAGCGCGATGGGACAAGGAAATCCCGGCCGGCCAAACCCTCCCCTGACCCGGAGGACGCTGAGCCAATTGTGCACTGCCTCATGGGTCTCCCGGTCACGGCCAGCTGTGACACAGCCTGGGAGCGAACCCGGGTCTGTAGTGACGCCTCAAGCACTGCAGTGCCTTAGAACGCTGTGCCACTCGGGAGGCCCTGGAACCCAAAATATGGAACAAGAAAGGGTTCTCCTAGCTAAATGCCCTTATATAAATACCAAATGATGCCCCAGCTTAAAACAAAGAACTTCACATCTCAAACAAATAGTCCACACACACACACACACACACAGACACACACAGTAAACTATTAGCGTAAAGATAAATAGGAAACTTACTCAAAGACAGTTTGTTATTGTTGTCCTTTCCCAGTAATAACTTTACCCCTCTGGATTTCAGCTCTCCAGAGCTTTTCACTGGTCGAGAGCAATAAAAAACATTTCATTAGATAAAATAAAGTTCCAGTATTAGATGAGAGGAAGACAGTGGTGGTTTTAGTTCAGTAATAACACACAGCCCCTATGAGGAACCAACATCAAGAATAATTGCTATCGGATTCATATTTGTTTCAGAAAAGTGGGCCATTACCCCTGCTACATGCAGAATAGGGTGATATTTCGGTGGCAGACCCTGACTTCATTGATCATTCCATAAAAATTATATTTGATTTATTGTTCTTGCAACTGACGTGTTTAATGGGGTGAAAATGTATGCAACTGAATCCAAACTGATATACCTTTTGTGAATATGAATGAGTAGAATATAATATAACAGCATGAATCTGAAAACACAGTGCAGCAACCTTCTAGGACTCTCCAAGACAGGGCCACTGCTTTTTTTTCCATTCTTCCCCTCTAATCAGGGACTTGGACGTGGGACGCCAAGTGGGTGCAATTAATTATCAGATACAACATAAAACTGTCACTGGGAAATGTCTTGTGACATACAATAATTTCAACACAAACAGGCCAACCAACATTACACAGCTACTGAGTCCTAAATGGCACCCTTTTCCCTTTATAGTGCACTACCTTTCCCTTTTCAGTGCACCTATAGGGATCTGTTCAAAAGTAGTGCACTATATAGGGGGAAAAGGTGCAATTTGGGATGCATCCAGTGTGAGGACAAAGCCAGGTGCTGTAAGCCACGGTCGTACCTACACAGAGTAACTGCCAGAAGCTAACAAGGGACTGTGTCTAGCACAGTCGTACATATCAAGGCCGAATGGATTTGATGTGTCTTCCTTCCCCTCTCTCTATTTGAAGTCAAACATCATGAATTAATTAATATATATTTTTAAAAGAATAACAAAGAGTTCTGTCTAGTTGGTGATCTTTGATAGCATCTGTAACATGCTTTTGGCTTGGCATACAGCCAATTACTTTCTAGTCTCTGTATGCATCCCAAATGGCACCCTATATGCTCTGGTCAAAAGTAGTGCACTATGTAGGGAATAGGGTGCCATTCTCTGGTCCAAATTAGTGCACTATGTAGGGAATAGGGTGCCATTTGGGACACACAATCTATCTTGCAAATCTACACTTTAATGTGATGATTGAATAAGGCAGAGGAAATAGTTTGCCTCTGACCCAACACTACACAATAGTCCCTATATAACTCTGACCCAACACTACACATATTCCCTATAGAACTCTGACCCAACACTACACCGTAGTCCCTATATAACTCTGACCCAACACTACCAGTGTCCTATAAAACTCTGCCCAAACCTACAACGTAAGTCCCGATATAACTCTGACCACACTAACTGTTAGTCCCTATATACTCCTGACCCAACAACAACGTAGTCCTTATAATTTTGACACAACACTACACGTAGACTACCAATAACTCGACCCAACACTCCAGGTCCTATATAACTCTACCCCAAAAATACACAGGGCCCTAAAAAAACTCACCCAAAACTACACTGTAGCCCTATGAACTCTGACCCAACCTAACAGTAGTCCATTTAACTCTACCCCAAAACCCCACACAGGTCCCTATTAACTCTGACCCAAACTACACATAGTCCCTATATAACCTGACCCACCCCACACAGTATCCCTATATAACCTGACCCAACACTACACGTAGTCCTAGTAACTTGACCCAACTACAAAGGGCCTATTAAATCTGACCCAAAACTACACTGTATCCCTATTTTAACTTGACCCCAAAACCAAACAGTAGTCCCCCATATAACTCTGACCCAAAAACTACACAGATCCCTAATAAATCTTACCCAACACACCTGTGTCCCCAAAGTAACTCGACCCAACACACAAACCCTAGTCCCCATATAAATCGACCCACACTACCATAGTCCCCAATAAATTTTGACCCAAAACTAACATAGCCCCCACATAACTCGACCCCAAAACTACACAAATCCAAATCCGACCCCAACACTACACTATTTTACTATATATCATCCCCAAAACACAAAATTAGTCCCTAATATCTCTGACCCAAAAATACACAGTAGTCCCTATAAACTCTGACCCCAAAAACCACATAGTCCCTATAAACCCGACCCAAAAAACTAACCCTAGTTACCTTATCCCCCGACCCAACCTCCAGTACCCATAAATATCTGACCCAAACTTCCAGTAGTCCTATATAACCGACCCAAAACACATGCCATATTATAACTGACCCAACACTACAAAAAATTCCCCCAATAAATCTGACCCAACACTACCGTATCTACCTTTTAACTCGACCCAACACAACACTGTAGTCCCTATATAAAATCTGACCCCAAAAAACCCCGATCCCTATATACTTGACCCAAAACACACAGTATCTACCTATATAAAACTGACCCAAAAACTACCAATAGTCCTATAAACTTGACCCAACACTAAATAGTCCCATATAAAACCACCCAAACTAAACGTGTCCCTAAATTTAAATCTTACCCAAAACTACCGTGTCCCCCCATATAACTCTGACCCAACCTACACAGTGTCCCTAAAACCTGACCCAAAACTACACATAGTCCCCCATATAAATTACCCAACATACACTGTAGCCCTTATAACTCTGACCCAACACAAAATGTATCCCATAAACTCTGACCCAACACACCGTGTCCCTATATAATTCTGACACAAAACCACACAGTAGACACCTTATAACTCTGACCCAACACTACACAGTAGTCCCTATATAATCTGACCCAACACTACACGTTTCCCATATAACTCTGACCCCACTACACGTGTCCATGTAAATCGACCCAAAACTACAATAGTCCAATATAATCTACCCAACACTCACTTTTTCCCTATATAACTCTGACCCAAAAACCCACAATATCCCAATAACTTGACCCAACAAACAGTAGTCACTATATAACTCTGGGCCCAACACTCACATATCCCCAAATAACTCTGACCCAAAAACCACACTAGTCCTTACTAATCGACCCAACCTACCAAATAAATTACCTAAAACTCTACCAACACTACACTGTAGTCCCCCACATATCCGACCCAAAACTACACAGTAGTCCTATAACTCTGACCCAACACAACAATCCCCAATAACTCTACCCCAAAACTACACGTGTCCCACCAATAATCTGACCCCCCCTACACGTAGTCCCCATAAATCTCTGACCCAACACACAGTATCCCTATATAACCTTTAACCCCCACTAAAAAATAGTCCATAATAAACTGCCCCAAAAACTACCAATATCCCCTTTTAACTTGACCCAACACTACACTATCTACCTATATAAATCTGACCCAACCAAAAACCGTTTTCCCATATTACTCGACCCAACACTACAATAGTCC